AATTTAGCATGGCCAACCCACCCTAACCTGTACATCCCTGGGCACTATGGGACAATTTAGCACAGCACAATTTAGATCCTGTCCTCGTTTCTTTTCCAAACAGGGACTGTCGACCCTGTTACAGACTCCTCGCAACTTTTAACAAACCTCTTGCAGATTTCCCCTCTCAGTCGGAGGGAAACAGTCCTGGCTTCTGCGCTCGAACCACACATCTGAAGTTTCTCATCCCCGGGGAAGCGTCTTTACTCAGGGAGGGGGTTGGTGAGCCTCCGAGTGGGGGTAAAATCTCTCCCTCCGTGCGCAGTCGCGTACGTACGGGAGATATTTTATTCGGTCCGCACCCACAACTCGGCCTTTAATTGTCTTATGAGATGAGCTGGCTCCAACTTCCCTTCGAACAGGGCAGGACCATTTCAGTCTTGAGTCACCGCTGTGGGGCCTGGAGTTACGTGTACGGCCAGACGCGGGGAAGGGTGGCAGATTTCCGTTCTGAAGGGGCACCAGTCGACCAGAAAGGGTTTTTTTTTATTTTTGTTTAACAAACAACAACGGATTCACCATCATAAATGAGACTAACTATTTAATTCCAGGTTTGTTCCATTGGAATTTAAATCAGGAGCAAGGGGAAGGGAGTGCATTTGTGGCTCCTAGAACCTGACCTCAGCCTCCCAGTCCTGAGGTGAAAGAGACCTCGGTGCACGGCTGATGTTTCTCAGCCTCGTTGTCCTGCGTTCTCCCCTTGATCCCGCTCCCCTTACAGGGCAGAAACCCATATATCTCTCTCTAAAAGACACTCGACAAACTGACCCCCACAGCTTTCTGAGCCAATGATCTCTGGGCAGATGTCACATACCGTCTCTGTAAAACAGCTGGGAGGCACATATCAAAGATGGCGAACGGCTCAGCACCTCCTTCAAGGCCTGGTGAACACAACTGACCTCAGGATGATAGTGCAGAGCCGCTTCGAGATCGCGTTTCGTGTCGTTTCTGGCTCCTGTGGAGAGAGTATGAAAACTGAATGTAATCTCCCACAGCCACTTCAACTATTCTCTCAACAAGGGTACACTAGGGTGGCTTTGGACTGTTAGCAATGCAGTGTCACACTGACCCTCCGACAGTGCGGCGCTCCCTCAGCACTGACCCTCCGACCAGTGCGGCGCTCCCTCAGCACTGACCCTCCGACCAGTGCGGCGCTCCCTCAGCACTGACCCTCCGAC